GCTTGGGCAAAAATAATAATAATATTTTTAAAAACCCACACAATCTTCACGTTTACATGGCAAATTCAATTGTCAATTGGAACGGAAGGCAATTTCCAAAGAGCGCCCCCCTGCCCTAGAGACCAGGAAAGAAATGGAATGGAGACATACTCCATACTATACAGTACTATACTGTGCACGTACCTGTTAATTTGTAGATCTAGTCTAGAATCTAGAGCTTAAAAAAAAAAGAGACTGTCACAGTGTCAGTTGTGTATGACTCAGTACGAGCAGGATTATAAGTAGGCCTAGCTGCCAGTACTCGCACTTGATTTCTGGTTAAAGATCTAGAATTCTAGAAATCTAGATGCTCCAGCTCCGCTGTCACAACATTGGACCATTATTTTGTTGACGTTGAAGGGGAAGCTACTAGATCTAGCTACTGTTATCAAGTGCAGAGACAAGATGAGAGTTGTTCCCCTCTTTACAATACGATAAAGTTGTTTTGCATTGATACTTTTGTTCATGACCACAAGAAGATCAACAATGGCAAGCTCTTTTGGCCTGCCTTCAAGGTTTAAACTTGTTCATAGTGTATAAAATGATCGTTCGCTACGTCTCCTTGTACCGATTGCCAACTGCAGTGGAACCTGTCTAAGACGTAATCGCAAGGAAGCCAGAAAAAAAATCCGTCTTTGACTTTGACATTTTCAGTCTTGGACGAGTATTGGAGAAGGGGTCATGCGACTGAGACTAGTCTAGATTCTAGATCTAGAATCTAGATATAGATCTGGATCTAGATCTAGTCTAGATCTAGACTAGGCTACTGAGAGCCAGCCGTATTCGATGGGTTTGTCGGTTCCGTCTGCACGCAGTGGTCAAAACTTTAAATCGACTCGTGCTATCCTAGAGATACTTTGATAGTGGCGTGCTCCAGTCTTACTTAATCCGCTGCCACTACTGCTTGCATCTCCTCACAGTAGGAATAGCTTGCGATTAAACGTAGAAAGACGCATGCCCCCCTGAATTTTACCACAATTTAATGTTTTGCTGTTGTTAGGTTTGATATCTTAGCTCACCGCGAATCAAACGTATAGATCTA